CCTGTGAGAGTGGAAAGAGCAGAGAGGGACACGCTTGGAGGCAGCATCTGGAGTGGCGGTGCTGAGACCCCTGATCCAGGTGGGGAGGGTAGTGAAAGGGATCTTTAACGCTGTATTCATGAATCTTAACGTAGCAAATAAGAGCTTGAACTTTTAAAAGAGACATTCAGTGCTCTAAAATACACATCAAGACAGGTACTTATCTTCCACCCGCACAGCTCGCTGAGCCCACATCAATGTCCCCGGGAGTCCTGTGTGCTTTTCATCGCTGCCTTTCAGTCTCTGATGGCTCCTTGTTTGCTTCGTGGGTACGTTTTTGTGTTTCTTCATCTCAATGTAATACTTCATCTCCCCCACCTTCTTTGTCCCTTCAGCTCTGCGTAATACAAAGCTCACTGTTTTCTGGTTTTAAAACTGAGATTGAGACCTGGACCAGCTGTTGCTGGATTTGCAGCAGGACTCAGGATCCCTGCACGTGGGAAAGTTTGCAGAACATTGCTTTGCTTGCAAGATCATGTGCATGTTTTTGATTGGCTCCTGAGGCAGGAGAGGGGCGGGAACTCAGCCCCCGAACTCAGGCAGGCTGAGAGAAGGGAAGGTGCCCAGGACCACCGCGCTCAGGGAGGAACCGCCCTGCAGCCTGCCCTAGTAATGGGGAGAGTTTAAGCTTGTGGCAGAATACCATCTCTCTCTCCCCTAACTCTGCGGTGACCATGGTAACCAAATTGTCAGGCAGTAAAGGGCAGACTCCTCTGCCCCATCTCTTCATGTATCCCTGAGTTGTAACCTGCGCTGGATATATTCCTGAGGGAGTGGGGAAACCTGCTCCTTCTGCCTACATGACTGGCCTCACACACCTGGTGGGGGGTGGTTAAACTCCCCATTGTTCTAAGCAATGCCAACCTGAGTGGGAGGAGGGGGGGGGGCCAAAAGCCCCTGCCAGTCTCCCCAGCAGCCAGTGATGCATTTCAAACTGGTTGTCTGGCAGCCAACAGTTGCTGGCCTTGATTGGATCAGGTAAATGAGGTCATGAGGGCTATATAAGTGAAGGACAGCCCAGGAGGAGGGGCAGTAGGCATGATGAAACCTCACAGAGAGAAACTGGGCCATCTAAAACTTGCTCTCTCTCTTGAAACTCATGATCAATGAACTGCCTGCCTCCCGAGGGAATCTCTACCTGCCCCTGGATGATAGTTGTGAGTAAGCTACCTGAGGTCCAACTGATACATAGCCTGCAGTAACTCAGATGCGTGATCAAAGGCTGCATTGCCACTTTTGCTGTAAGGGATTTCTCTGATATTGCTCTACCCTGTACCCTATTCTAAACCTACTCCTTTTAACCAATAACGTTCTCCTTTGTACCTAGTGTGGGAGACTTATTGGGAGTGGGTCTAGATTATGCCTTGGGGTCCGCTTGGTTCAGCTGAGTAAGGGAGACCACTATTTGTGCTTCAGACTGAGGGAAGCACCCCAAGTTCTTGCAGTGGGTCAAGTTCCCTCAAGGACTACTAGGCCTGTGTTTCTCAGAGGGCACAGGTCCCGAATCAGTTCAGCCTCTGGATTGTGGTGGCAGCGCTACCCCTAGGCTTGCGGGTGTGCTCCAGGAAGGGGGTCGGCTGGATGTGAGGCCCTCCCAGGCAGGCATTCAGATCCTGGAAGGTGGTCGGGTGCAGTGAGGTAGGTGGTTCAACACACGAGCACCTCCTACTGGCCCACCACAAACTTGATATCCTTTTTTCTTTCTGTGAGGCAGAGGGACCTGTGTGCAGCAAAAATGGTGATCACACAGACATGGAGCAGAGGAGAGCATCTCTTCTCCACGCAGGCTCCAGCAGAGAGCAGGAGTTTCTGGAGCAGCAGCACCAGCCGTGGGTATTGTGTTAGCAGAGTGAAGGTGAGCTGATGTCTTGCTCACCCCGTGTGCTGCTGCTCAAATACACTGGAGTCTCAAGGCTTAAGCTGGGGCGTTGTACTGAGGGTGTCTTTGATTCAATGTGTACCGAGTCTTCTAGCTCATTGATACCTGCCTTCAACAATTAGGTGACTGATATCCTGTGCTGCTATTAACCTCGTTCATATGTTGACTGTTTTGTAAATAATAAAATAAGTAAATAGTTGGACTGTATGTACTCCAGTGTGTGGGGAAACCACAAGAAAAGTTGTGGGGCTGGGAGGTTGACCGAGACTGTTTGACACCAGGCTCAGGTTACATTATAATCCTATTTTCTCTCCTATTTTACTGCTGTTCATGAGTTGAAAAAATCATTTTCTTGCGTGGTTTCCCCACTAACCCCAAATTACTGTTATGTCGTAACTCTATTGCAGATATTTTATGGTCCGTTCAACTGTGTCCCTTGTGCAGAGCCTGGTGGATGATGCAGAAGTGCAGTTGTGTCCACCCCAGAGGTGGCTGCACAGCAGGGCTGGAGGAAGAGCACTGGGCCCTGCTTCGCCTGGGTCCAGCTGAGAGAAACGGTGTGTCCCAGCCCCTCTCAGTGCCTCAGTTTCTCTTGCTACTCGCTCTGTATTTAGACTGGCAGGGCCAGGGCTATCTCGCACTGAGTTTGGACAGCACCAAGCACCTTGGGGGCCTTGGGGGCCTGATTTTAAACTGCCCTTTACTATAACAAATGAACAACATGTCACTTTCCTGCCTTTTTCTGTCCCACACTGAATACGCAGCTGTGGCTTGTGCCACTGGGAACACCCCCTTTGACCGCTGGCTGCTCAGAAATGATGTTTTCTTTCACAGAGGCACGAAACCTGAGTAGCAGTGACATAGCAACCCAGGACAGCTCCTCTTTGCCCTTTCCCATGACAAAGCTGCTTCAACCAGGGTCTCCAGCTGCAACTCTGCCTCAGTTTCCCCTCTGACTCATTTCTGTTTAGACCGGTGATTCTCAACCAAGGGATGGAGGCACCCAAGGGTGCCCTTCATGGGCGCTGCAGAGGCCACCCAAGCACTTCGTTGGGTGTGCAAGCATGATTCGCAGGAGAAACCCAGAGATTTTCTGTGGGGATCTGAGCTGCAAAAGCCTTCTGACCCGTGGGGGTCTGAGCTCTTCACAACACAAGAACTGCCCTGGTATTTTTCTGCAGTCAAAAAATCAAGGGAAAGCCGAGCGCTGGCATTTTCCAAGGGGACCTGGGTCTATGAAGGGTGAAAACCACTGATTTAGGTTTTCAGCTCTGTAAGGAGGACGGTGATCTTAGTGTGTGCTGGAACAGCGCTACGCACAAGGCAGCCCGCAGCTCAGGTGGGGGCTCAGAAACGCAGCACCAAGGAGCTTTCTTCTATTTGTTCCCCATGACCGTGCAGCTGTGCCGGGCTGCAACGGGAATGCCACCCTGTGGCTCCGTCTCCCGACAAAACCTGCCACGTGCTTTGAACAGGAGGTGGCAGGAGACTGGACAGGAAGAGAAATGAATAAAGACTCCTCGTTGCAGGCTCCCCGGCCGTGATGCTGGTCCGCTCGCGACCTGACATCCCAGCTTCTGGCTAATCAGCCTCTCCTGCCTCCAGCAGCAGGGGCAGCAGGAACAAAGGAGCAACAGTGTCTGCACAGCTCCTGAGTGAGCAGCCGGGGCAGAAGCCTCCCAAGTCTCAGGCCCAGCGAAGAGGCTGCCCCTTCCCCGGGGCTGAACCAGCCAGGCCCACGCGCAGCAACCAGGGGTCTGACCAACCCGACTGCCTTCTCTGACGAGGTGACTGGCTGGGGTGACTGGGGGGAGGTTGGGGGTCAGACATAAGCTGTTTATTGCCCTGCTCCAGTTTTAGATGACTGTCCAGTGAAACACTTAGCGGCATGCTCTTTTTTCCCTGTAATAGGGTTTGCTCAAGCTCACTGGCAGGGAAGGGGTCAGGTATACTGATATTCTTCCCCAGGTGCCCCTCCCGGCTCCCTGCCGCCGTGTGCAGCTCCTGGGACTCTGCTGGAAGCAGCAGGGAGCCCCACACGATGGAGCCAGGGCAGCTTGGCCCGCTCCCTGCATCCTGGTGCCATGGCAGGGAGCATTTCAGGCTGTTCAGCCCTGGCTGGAGGCAGGGAGCAGCAGAGAGGATGATCAGGCCGAGCCCGTCTGGCCTGGCTGAGCTGCCTTGGACGCTGCCCCAGAGCCGAGACACAGCCCAGTGCCCTGGCAGCACGGAGCAAGCCACTATCGGGGGCCCCCCAGCCGGACGGCTGCCCGTGCTGCCAGCTCTCTTGCTGCTCACTAAAGAGCTGTCCAGACCACGTTGCTCATTAAAACATGATGCCCTTTGCTGCTGCTGCCCCCACCCCAGCCACTGACAGGCTTGTTAGCTGGAGGGTGGGATGTCACGGGGGAGCAGACCTGCATCACAGCAGGAGCGGGGCGGGGCCCCTGGCAGCCCTGACCCCGCAGCCTGTGCTGGTGCAGCTGGGGCCGGAGCTGGAGCAGGGAGCACGCGTGCGAGCAGAGAGGGCTGGCACCAGCCAGGGCACCCGTGCTAGGGACTGCTTTTATGTGCAGAGGTGGGCGCTCCCCACTGCGGGTAAGTGGGGCAGGGAGATTGCAGCCCCCAGCCCTGAGTAAGGGCCCAGACTGTGCCCCTCCCTGGCAATCAGGCCCCAGGGCTTGGGGCCTGGGCACCAGGAGGGCTCAGCTCTGCACTGGGGTGCAGCTCTGGCCGGCAGCCTGGGGAAACAACCCTCAGGCCTTGCCCAGCAGGCACCCAGGGCTCTGGCAGAGCCAGGACACAGGACTGTGTGTGCCCATGGAGAGGCAAGCCATCTGATTTTGTCACCCCTGCCCCTGCGGAGCACAAGAGGCCCAGACCCCATCCCGCAGGGCCCACGGCGCAGGGCTGAGCCGCAGGGGTCCTAGGTGGATCTGCTCAGCCGGCCAGCCTGGCTCAGGTGAGTGATGACAATGGACACGGCCAGCTCTGCTAACAGCTTTATTTATAAGTCTAAACCTAAAACTATTTACAGTCTGGGTCAGGGGAAGGCCACATGCGACCCCCTGCAAGCCGCTCGGGGCAGGCTGGGCAGTGAATGGACACCCTCAGCGCTTGGGGCCTGGCTTCAAGGCCTTGTACTCCACACCTATGCAGTACCTCTCGGGCAAACCGGTGGCTCTGGGAACAGGAAAAAAAACAGTAAGATCCCAGCCCTCCAGCTGTGCCAGGGCCTGGAGCCAGCCCCAAGGGGCCCAGCAACACATCTGGCACCACGGCCCCCCAGGAGCGGGGCTGACCGGGGACAACAAGCGATGGCTGAGCCCAGGTGGAGGGACTCTGCTCCGGCTTCACTCCCCCAGGGAGACCCAGCCCCCGGGGAGCACACGGGGCAGGAGGGAGGCTCAGAGCAGGCGCCAGGAGCGGTAGCTGGGGCAGCACACGGCAAAGTGACCTGCCTCCCCATACTGCCCTGGCCAGCCCTGCTGCAGCTGCCCTGCCCTCAGCCCGCGGCCTGGGCCCCGGCTCCTGCACCACCCGCGAGTGTCAGGGGCTCGGCCTGCCCCAGGACGTGGTGAAGGGGGAAGGCAGCGAGAGACAGCACGAGTTGTGACCAGCACCCACGGTTCACCCCCGCGCAGCCCCCCCTCACCGGAGCTCCTCCATCCTCGTTCTCTTCAGCTGGGCAATGCGATCGGCGTGCTTCTGCATCTCCTTTTGCAGGCGCTTCCCATCCTCGAAGCAGACGGCCCGCTCCTGCGCCAGCTGCTCCTGGCGCTCCTTCATCTGGCGCCGCACCGCTATACCGTGTGCCATTCGCTTGGCGGCCCTCTCCTCCTGCTGCTTCTGCTCCTTCTGTGCCTGCTCCCGCTGCTCCCTGGGGGAGACGCCAGCAACCGTGACAGGCGCCAGCCCAGCCTCTGCACGGGCAGTGCCCGTCCTGCCCAAA